ACCAAAGGTTTCTTCACATAATTGTTGCAGGGGTCTCCTAGAATAATCCTAAGGGGAGCCCTGTGCATATACTATGACACCAAGAAAATTCCAAACTTGCTGCCGCATTCTTCTTAAGAGCTGTTGCTCATGAATACCAAAAAACATGCTTGGGTCCTTTGACCAGGGGTCGAGGGACTCAGACCACCCTAGCCGCGTTTCTGGAGGCCAAGAAAGCCAAGGAAACTGAAAAGGACACGCAACGGGCAGTCACGAATTGCGGAAGGGCAGGTTTTAGGATCAATGCAAGTACCTGCAAGTACATTCTCGATTCCTTCAGAGAAAGATCATGCATTGACAAGCCTTTGGTTGAAGGACAACAGGTTTCATTCCTTGGGATTTAGGGTTTGGACCAAAGGTTTCTTCACATAATTGTTGCAGGGGTCTCCTAGAATAATCCTAAGGGGAGCCCTGTGCATATACTATGATACCAAGAAAATTCCAAACTTGCTGCCGCATTCTTCTTAAGAGCTGTTGCTCATGAATACCAAAAAACATGGTTGGGTCCTTTGACCAGGGGTCGAGGGACTCAGACCACCCTAGCCGCGTTTCTGGAGGCCAAGAAAGCCAAGGAAACTGAAAAGGACACGCAACGGGCAGTCACGAATTGCGGAAGGGCAGGTTTTAGGATCAGTGCAAGTACCTGCAAGTACATTCTTGGTTCCTTCAGAGAAAGATCATGTATTGACAAGCCGTGGGTTGAAGGATGACAGGTTTCATTCCTTAGGATTTAGGGTTTGGACCAAAGGTTTCTTCACATAATTGTTGCAGGGGTCTCCTAGAATATTTTAGAATAAAGCGCTGTGCGCATGCGGTGACACCAAGAAATGTCCCAAATTTGCTGCCGCATTCTTCTTAAGAGCTGTTGCCCATGAATACCAAAAAAACATGAGGGACTCAGACCACCCTAGCCACGTTTGTGGAGGCTAAGAAAGCCAAGGAAACTGCAAAGGCCACGCAACGGGCAGTCACGAATTGCGGAAGGGGCTGAAACCTATGGTTTTGCGGATCCTCCATTTTAGGAAACCTCCAGTAGATGATTCTTCCTGGCCAGGTTAGATCCCTTGGGGTAGTAAGGCTGTAGCCATGCAGCCAAGGCCATCAAGGCCAAGGATGCCGACAAGGCGCCATGGTGCTGTTTTGCCTCTGAAGACGAGATAAGACGAGTAGCCCTGGGGATAGGCACCACTTGGAGGATCATCTCTTAGGAACTGGTTAATAGTTAATAACATTTCATAAGCCTGGTTCGTAAGTACCCTAAGTGGGGTTATCCCAGTGGTGGGTGAACTAACCCAGTTGCTAACCTTTTTTTTGGATGGGATGATCTCCAAGGAAGAAACATCCAGAGATCACATCCGGCGCTGGCTATGCCGAGAATGACCTCTTCGGATAGCGGTGCCTCTGCTTCCGCATCTGGGCAACTGCTGGGCAATCGGGAGCTGGGCTTCAGCGCCAAAGCTGTGGCTACGAGTGTAGGTGGTGCTCTTCACCGTGCACTCGCAAAGAAGCGTTGGAAGGCAAAGTACAGCCCCAATACAGGGTGAGCAGGTGGTGACCCTCGTGAATCTGAGCCCTTCCAAGCTCTGGTTTCCCAGGAAATGATCAAAAGATGATAAAAGATGCAGGATTTTGTTCCAGATCATTCCATATCTATTTTGCAGTGTAAAGCAAGCCACAGTCCCAAACTACCCCAATTTCACGCCAGAGGACCCTTCTTTGCGTCTGGACGGAACATGGAACTGGGAAAATCTGAGACATCTTTAATACTTCGAAACCTTGAAATGAATGGAAACTAATGATTGAAATGTGAATCATCGATGATTTCCCCATGAAACCCACCATTTAGATCATTTAGTTTGGGGGTTTTCCAGCTAGCCACGCTCAATGACACTGGAGGGTGATCAAGCGGTCGACATTTCTTATCATTTCTTGCGGAAAAAGCGATTGGTTTTTGATGTTTTTGGGAGAACATGTTATAGTAAAACAACCATAGTGTGGATGGTTGCGAAATCCTGCACCACCTTGGATGGTTGAAACCCTATGAAGAATGGGATGTTTACCATCTATCAACTGGTGATAACCGGATTTCGCTGGCCCATCCACCGTATGTTAGTCGGAAACTCCATGGTCTTGGGGGGCCAGATCTTCCCTTGGGGTACCTCCATTCGTCAGCGGTTCACGCTGAAACGAAAAGGGGATCAGCGATTTGAGGGGACCAGTTTTGATGGATTTCATTGGGGATTTCCTCCGGTGATGCCTGACATTTTGGCATTTTGAGGATTGGATTTGTCTGACATACGGATTTTTTTGGATATAGATTGGATATAGGCTACTCCAAAATCCGATAGTTACTCATCATTCCTAAGTGGTATACCGAAATGCCCATATCCACTGTTTATCCCGATGTTTGATGGTTAAATCAAGTTAAATCACCATCAAACCAACATGTTTCACTATTTTCCATCAGTTCTTATGTGAAGTCGATCTGGTTCACTCGGATTGGGCCACACAAATTGAGCATCGGCAGTGGAGGGGGGGTCTTTTGAGCACAAGTAGGCAGCTACAGTAGGCACAATAGCTGGTATAGCTGGTTGGTGGTTTAACCACCAATCAATATATTGTCATATGATTTATTTTCAACCATGTTTGGATGTATTTGTGCAATTTGGGATGGTTCTTAAATGTTCTTAAACCATTTACTGTGGAAAATCCGCAGTTAAAAAAGGGAAATCATGGACCAAAATAGGCCATAGCAACCATAGCTACGTTGAATGACTGGATATTATTTGAGATAATGATCCTGGCTTTCCAACTTTTCAGGTGGCTGAGTAGGCACTCCACTTTTACCTTTTTCCGGATTTTGGCAGTTTTTGGTCAGGTGAAAAAGGCCAAAGAAGCTGAAAAGGCCATCGGTGGGAAAATTATAACCTCACGTCGCGACCAACCTGGGATAATGGTTAAGGGAAACCATCCCAAGAAGAAGCCTTCTTTCAGGTTAGTCAATTATTATTGCAAATTATTACTATTTTATTATTATTATTTTACTACTATTATTATTTTACTTTACCTAGACCTACGTACTACACATATAGTGTTGATGTGTTGGTTGGTTGTATCATTCCCATTATATCAACCGTATCCCATTGAAATCTTCCAGTTTAGGATCACCCTGATTCTCCTGTCGCCCGGTGTCGCTGAAAAAAATCCAAACAGTCGTCCATTTCTTGGATGGTCGGACTGATCTGTCATTCATTGTCCCTATGTCCTACCCTCTGGTAAACTAACATAGCTATGGAAAATGGATGAAAATGGCCCATTTATAGATTAAAAATGGTGATTTTCCATAGCTATGTTGATTTACCAGAGGGTAAATGATATCCTGAATGTGTCACGGGGATTTTTGTTTGGTGTTTTCAAACTCAATGCGGATGGACGTAAGTTTACATTCGCTTGGTAAATCCATGTTCTTATCATACCCAGTACTTCCAGTGTACATTATATGTGACAACCAGGGTGGTGGCCACAGAGGCTGGCAACCGTCCCAAAAAGCCATGTTGACAAAGTGGTTCCAGGAACCAGTAGTGATTTTGTTCATAATATAGACAATAGACAATCCGTATTCAGTACATCTGATTGCATTATGGAGATGACCCAAAATGGGGGGTACCCCCAAACCATTGAAGTCATTAGACCATGGACTTTTCAACCTATGGTTTTGCCCCCAAAAAACCTCCATATCTTGATGTTAAAATGATATCATCCAAGGCTGTCATGAAGCAGGAAGCATTTTACAATCGCGGATGCTACCCTTAATGAGTTGTTGTCGATCATTTGGGCGTTACTTAAAATGGGGGCACCACCCAATTTCGTCCATTTAATGGGATTTTACCTTATAAACCTTCCAGCTATTGGGGTACCCCCGTCCAAATCCCATACATGATGCATCGTTTTCCCCATATCAAAAATGACCATAGCTTGGGCTGCTCCCCATCTTGAGCCAAAGCAACAACCCTTGACAAAATGGATATTTACCCTCTGGTAAACTAACATAGCTATTGAAAATCGTCATTTATAGTGGATTTTCCCATTAAAAATGGTGATTTTCCATAGCAAACTGTTAAATTACCAGAGGGTATGTGAAGCCCAAACCTGAAGCTGACAGTGAAGCCAACTGCCATATGGCTATGGATCAATACCTATACATACCATTTTTAGGGGGATGAACATCCATTTACCAGCTATTTTGATGTTCACCAGGGGTACAAGGTTTTGACCCATCCCCATATCCCAAATTTACCTATGGATGTGTGGCTTCGGGATTTGTAGATCCAAGATGGTCCAACAAGCCACGTGATGAAACCGGAGCAAGTCCCAAGTCCAAAGGTACTTCAAGGTACTAAATCCAGATGTTACAGGCTGGGTATCAGTTATGATAGTTATGTTTGTTGGTTTATAAAGCCCATTATCTATAGGTATATGATGATATATGGTGGTTTCCTAAAATAGGGATACTCCAAATCATGAAAAAAAATAGACCATTTTAGCGTTGAAACCCTATGGTTTTGATGTTTTTTGGGGATCCCCAATTGTAATGAACCCCCCTCATATCTACATGATATATCTACCATATATCTATCATATATATCTACTACCATCAACCATGGTTCACCAGATATTTTACCTCTATCCACTCCATGTTTTTCGGGATGACAAAGGTGAAGAAGGCGAAAGCAGCTGCGAAGGCGATGGTTTTTCGATCGTGATTTCTATGTGGGTAAAACAATCATAAACTACCCATGACTCAGGGTAAATTATAACGAGCTCACTGCGACCTCACTGGAATCATGGTTAGTAAGGGGAATCATCCCCAAATAGCCTGAATTCAGGTATTCAGGTAAGTGAAATATTATAATTTACCCAGATGACTGGGAATGGTAGAGATACTGTGGATGGAAGAAATCCTGCATCAACTTGAAATTCAGTGGGTCATCATACCCTTTGGTAAACTAAGGATTAGTCTGGGTAAATTATAACGACCTCACTGTTGTCCCTCACTGGCAATGATGGTTAGTAGGGGTGACTATCCCCAAGATAGCCATATTTCAGGTTGGTGAAATATGATAATTTACCCAGAATAACAAACTACCCATGACTGGCAATGGTAAACATAGCACCTATTAAAATCTATTAAAATGGTGACTGGCGATGGAAAAAAATGGAGGTTTCCTAAGTCATGAGGGTACCCCAATAGCTGGATGCTTTTTCCCCACCTGCCAGGTGAGGGTTGTTAGATTTTATCAGAGTTGTTCTTCTCCTTCTCCTCCTCTTCCTCCTCGTCCTCCTCCTCCTCCTCCACCACCTCTGCCTCCACTTCCATGTTCACTTCCGCCTTGCCAACTCTTCCCCAAGCTCTTCGCCAGCTTCCGCACGCAGTGGGCACCGCTGGCCTCAACCTGGGACCTTCCGAGCTCAGTGAGCACGGCTGAGCACTGCTGGACCTCAACCTCGGACCATCCGAGCTCAGTGAGCACCGCTGGACCTCAACCTGGGACCCGAGCTCAGTGAGCACCGCTGGCCCTCAACGGGCAGATAGAATGCCAGAAGATATGCCAGATAGAACGCCAGATAGAATGTCAGAAAGAATGCCAGAAGATATGCCAGATAAAGTGCCAGAATGTTTGCCAGATAGAATGCCAGAAGATATGCGAGATAAAGTGCCAGAAGATATGCCAGATAGAATGCCAGATAGAATGTCAGAAGATATGCCAGAAGAGTGCCAGAAGATATGCCAGATGGTGGGGATAACTCGAAGTAAAGTAATTTGAATGGAACATTTGATATGAGGATGCTTGATTTGGTGGTACCCCTATAGGAAACCACCCATATGAACCCATTTAGGAACCCAGCCCTCTAGGTAAATCTGTAAATGCTTGAAATGTACCATCCCCAAGTCATCACCATTTTTATGGGTGGTATGTCTACCATCTCCAGTCGTGGTAGGTTTATGGCATTGGGTTGGCCACATTAATGAAATATGATGAAGTATGTCCTCTTCCTGCGATTCATGTGTGGTTTTCGGATGTTGAAAGCATGGAACTGCAACTAGAGGATGATGAATAGACATCGTTTGCAAAGCCAACTGTCAGAGTCACTGCGAGCTCCTTGAATAGAGACATTTGAGCTTTCGGATATCGCATAGATGTTATAGATTATGACGTCAGCTACTGCCCCGGGCCCATCTTCACGAACGTCGGCGTCATCGGCCGATGCAGCGTTGTGCATCGGAAAGCGCATATAGCTTGGCCGTCGACTCCGGGATGCATGCGTTCAGAAGCGCATTTGGGAACCACGGCCTCGAGAGCGACGACTACGTGATAGCGGAACAGTCGCATGACGGCATCCATGCAGCGATGCGGAGGCGCTATGCCTTCAGCGTCCGTCCGTCCTGCAGGAGAATTCTCCTCGGCGTAAGCAGCGACGTCGCCGACTATTTCGTCGCCTTTTATGACATATTTAGACGCTGTGATTAGTGACTATGCATGGATTCTCTCTCTCTCTCTCTCTCTCTATGTATATATATATATATATATATATACATGGATTTTTCATGATTTCGCCACATTTTGCCTCTTGAACTTGCCATAAATATCATAAATCAAGGGCCAAATCCCCCATTTTCAGATCCATTTAGCTCCCATCTAATAATGCCCTGGGATCCTTCCCGCATCAGCCCAAGAAGGCAAAGGACGCCAAGATCAAGACGGCGAAGGCCATGAAGGCGAGGGCAGTTGAATCCCATGCGGCCCATGCGTGTTTTGAGACATATATATGTAATTATACATATACACACATACATAATCATACATATATATATATTTAGTATACATTATTATGTATATAATTCGTATAATATATTTATATACACATAAATACTATATATGATATAGAATATCCAACTTCTGCAGCAAACAAAAGCCGCCAAGGCCAAGGCCGCGAAGGCCACCAAGACCGCGAAGGCCACCAAGGCCGCGAAGGCCACCAAGGCCGCGAAGGCCACCAAGGCCGTCAAGGCCGTCAAGGCCGTCAAGGCCAAGGCCGCCAAGGCTGGCTGTGGGTTGTCCATGGTTCTCCATAAATTCATGAATAACACAACAGGTATGGTGATATTTTCGTATAAATATGGAACTATAGATGATATGCTTTTTTGATATGCCATAAATATGGATGAACTATGGACGGAATACATCAGGAGGAAGAAAGTTTTTTCCCGCTTAGTAGCTAGTCAAGAGGAAAAACTTTTGTCCTGGTGTTGCAATGATTCTGATTCATTGATTCATCACAAATACGATTCGTGGAGGCATTAGATGTGTTTCTTATTCGATTGGTTGATTGTTAAAAAAAGAGGGGTTCCCCTCCATGAAAAGCAACAAATGGATGATGACAAACTATATACCAAACCAGCACCTTTATCTTTTAACCAAGACAATATTGAACAGCGCCATGGTGTTTAGAATTTGATGGGATGAAAACTCTTAATTTATATAAATCCATTTCAGTGGTGTAGGTATGTCTAGACTCAGTTAAATTTACAACTGATCCTTGCTGCCAGTTATCATTGGATTGCCCATGTTATCTCAACTTGTGGGTGAGCTCTCCCTGCTGAGTGAGCAGGGAAGCAGCAGTACATGCATCCCCCAACCTTGATATTGTTTATATACAAAAAGATCAAATTCTGTCCATCGACATATGTTTACACTAGAACTCAGGTTGATTTGTTTTTTGCTAAATATCCATCCCCAACCAACTGGATGGGTAGTTTAATCCTCTAGTTGGTTGCTATGAAAAATCAACCGGCACAAGATGAATTTGGGGCAGCAACAGGAGCCATCGATGATGATTGCGAATCCCATCACTACCCTCGCCATGGCTCAGTTATAACTGATTTACCTATTGAAAGTGGTGATGTTCAATAGTTATGTTAGTTTACCAGAGGGTGCCTCCTATATTTGTGATAATCCCACAGACTACGCCAGGCCTAACGAGCTTCGAGCTTCCAATTGTCGTCCAGGTGGATGGCCTGGTTGGAGTTTGTTTTTTGGATTGGTGAGATGCCCAAAAATGCATAAGTCTTTTGAGGATCAACAAAACACAACCATTGGACATTGGATATAACTATACGCTAACCATATGGCTAGTAATCCCTAAATCCCCATGAATCCTTATTACATGGCGATAGATACGATATACATATAGATGGACCGGGCTCGTGGAACTGGAGTGGAACCTGTGAAGCTGCATCAGATTCACAAAACAATTGGGTTTTGTTGAACCTAGAAAATTTTTCAAGCTACAAATTCAGATGGCAAAATTCAAAAATTCCAACTGAACTGGGTCGATCTCAAATTTCAGACGGTTTATTAATAGGTATTCAAAGAAACCATCATGAAACAGATACGATTGAGTAGCTAATTCATTGCGGATTATGATAACTAATAATAGGGAAACCTATCAACATCTATCAACTAGTATTTCATTAGATCGGAATACGGGGTATTTTTGGTGACTCAGTTGTTCAAAAAGATATTTTTGGATGAAATTTTTGGCGCAGATGGCGAGAAAATCCAGAAATATCCAGAATTTTGCGTGCGTAACTGAGGTGATGCGCCTGGCCCTCAGTACACTATGCAAATTCCAATTAGAACTTACATATTTATCATATCGAATTTAAAGATCAAAATAATAAATATATATGATATAATTTTAAAATTAATATTTATATAAATATATTTAATATTTATTGGAATATTTATTAATTATATATAATTAATTATAATTTATTATTATTATTCCCCTTACCATTTCTATTACTAAAAGGATGAATACGTATTTGATATTATCCCCGGTTTCGTGGAGAATTTAAGCAAAAAAAATGGATTCGTATACTAATTTTTGTAGTAAAAGGGCATTATTACATAAAACGGGACGCCTGTCGAAAAAGTGGGCGCCCTTGTCGGAAACCCGACACTTGTACCCGGAATTGATCCAATACATCATATAATTA